CATCAGAGAAATGCAGGTTACTTTTAAGATGCACAGCTGAGTCATCAGTTTAAATATTAAGCAAGAACTTCAGAGTAAAGCCTGGTATAAATGTGAAAAGTGATTTTAGGGGTTTTTTTTACTATTCTAACTAACTTGGATTACTGTAACTCTGTTTCCAGAAATAACTTCTAGTTATAAATATTTTCATAAAACTGTAATTCTGAAGGATGTTTTGCCACGTGAGCCATCCTTAAAGCAGGAAAAATTGAGTGTTAATTCCAGCAGAGTGGATACAAAAAGACAAACCTGTGTTTCTTGGAATTTTACAAGTCCAGCATTGAGAATAACCCCCTGTCCCAGTGGGAAAAGTTGTTTTGTTCCAGCAGAAGCTCAGAAGCAGTCTCTGTGAAGATTTGGCTGGGTCCAGGTGCCAGCCTGCCCCTGCTGTGGCAGTGCCACGGTGTCTCTGTGCCCCAGGCCCGGTTTGTGCTGATCCTGCTGGTGGGCTCCTTCGATGTCATCTGCGCCCTCGTCCTCATCCAGAGCCAGTCCATGATGGCATTCCGGGTGGGGGGAGCCCTGGAGAGCCTCCAGTCCCAGTACTTCATGCTCAACCTCTGCTTTTCCATGCTCACTTTTGATCTGCAGGCACAGGTACAGAGCTCTGATTCCCTTTTTCCCTCTTCCTGATGGGGTCTGGGACTGGCTGAGCTGAATTATTCCTTTCCAAGAGCAAGCCTCTCTCTTACCTTTATTATATTAACTTAAAATTGGTTATAGCTCCATGGGTTTGTCATAGCTTAGCTAAAATCCATAAAAATGAATTAAAATCTATTTCTTTGTTGTCCTGCACAAAAGGAGCTTATTTTTGGGAAGTTTATCCATAAAAACAATTGCATCCAGGAGCTCCACCCCACCCATGGCCTCCTGAAATAAGCAAGATTATTCCTGCCCATCTCAGCCTCCAGTGTCCTGCACTGAGGAAATGATTCTGGAGTGGGAGAGGGGAACTTGTCCAGCAGGGCAGTGAGACAGAAAATTAAATTACAGATGGGGGAAGTGAGCCCAAGACCTGTTACTTCTTATTTACTGCTGCTTTATCTGCTCTCTCTGTTCTCCTGGTTGCTGTTACACAGGGAATTACTTCTGCCCTTCTTGAGGAATAATTCAGCTTTTAGACCCGTGCCCAACGTGCTGTTGCAGGGAGTTTGTGGCAGATATTTTTTGGTGGGGCTGCACAGTCCCAGGAATGATTTCATGCAATGTTTGCCTCCCCCAGCTGTGCCTGTGCATCCTCCTGATCAGCCTGCACGAGGTGACGCTGCTGCACAACATCATCTCAGCCACGGGCGTCGTCTGGGGCTGCCTGAAGGTCACCGTGGGCATCATTGCAGTGAGTGTCCAGCTGCCCCCTGGCACTGCCCATCCTCACGCCCCACAGGCCCAGGGGAGGGAGCCAGGATGGAGAAAAGCAGAGCACCAACAGTACTGAAGCCAGGTTTTGTCTAAATCTGTGTCTGAACTGAGCACACGGAGTGAAGTCACATTGACATTGGGCTGTTCTGAGGGATGTTGTTTTAATCTCAGTCCTTGATCACTTTAATGAAATCTGGAGGATTCACACTATCTTCAATATTTCTGCCTCTCTGCCAAGGCTGGGGGAACTGGGAGCAGTCCTCCAAGCCTTAAATCTGTAGGAAACCACACCAGAAAGATGAGGGTCCTTTGCGGGGGCATCTCCTTCAAACCTCAGAGAGAGTTTCCAGGTTAACCTAAAGATTTGTGAACTTGAAATGTCATTTTTCACGTCAGACTGAACCTCCTCTGAAATCCTGAGCCTCTGTTCCAAGAAAGATTGCAGAATCAGGGCCAAAGTACATCAGATAAGTGAGTTTCTTATTACCAGGAAGGAGTTTAGGGGTTTTTGGGGGTTGATGTTGGTTTAGGCTCCTGGGGTGTTTGCTTTAGTCATTTACATAGATTCCTGACAGCTAAAATACAGCTCCCTGTGTGTTTTGATGGCTTTCCTGCATTTAAAACACACCAGTTTTGGGTTTGGGGGAATCTGGTGCTGATCAGATACATCAAGTCCAATCCTAACACTGGCACAGTCACTGCTCTCACCTCCAGTGGCTCAACTGCTTTTCCTTCCTTGCTCAGACCCAGAGCTGCTGCAGTCCCCTTCTTCTTTCCCCAGCCCTAGGGTGAATTGTGAAATTAAATTCTCCTGGCGCTTCAATCCTCTTGCTTCTCCCACACTTCACTCCTCAGTGACTGCACTTTTCTGTAGTAAAAAGAAAGAGAAAAAGCCACAGAGAGCTCTTAGTCTGTCACCTATGAAAACATTCAGCTGCTAGAGGAAATCTGAGTGTGCTCAGAAAGGTCATCATCACTCCTGGCCCAGCTCAGGGGAAAACAGAGGCTGAATTTCCTGCTAAAAAAACACAGGTGGAGAAAGGAAGTGGAGAGCAAAGCTAAAGCTGAGAACTCAGCTTAGCCAACACTTGGAATGCTATGAAAAATCAACTATATGTAGCTTTTTTAGAATATATAGCAACTTTAAAAAGCTGTATCTCATCTTATTTTGCAGATTTTAAAAGAGCTGAAACCTCTCGTGTGGGTTTTCCTGATTCAGAATGTGCCTGAGGTGGTTTATCTCATCTACCTGCTCTACACGGTAAGGGAGCAAGGCTGGGAGGGCTCACCCTCATCCTTCTCAGGGTCCAGAGGTGTTGCTTTACCCTTCCCTGCAGCTCCTGCTGGATTTAAAGAGAGCAGAGCACATCCTGCCTCTCCAGGATCAACTTTTCACAATAGACATGAAGTCAAGTTGCTCTTGAACTGAGTAGAGAGAGAGAGGCTCTGGAAGTCCCTGCAAAGAATGATGAGGGAAAGATGAAAGAAATTCTTTTTCAAGATACACAACTTCTCAAAAATGCTTCCTCTCCTTCACAACAAGCCTCAGGTGGTGCCAGAGCATTTGACCAGGGCTCAGTTGTTGTGTTTTAAAGACTTTCTTAGGCAGCACACACAGCTGTGGATCCTGTTGTAGCCAAAACAAGGCGGTGCAAGCCAAACAAACTCCAGTTTGGGGCAGTTTTTTGGCTCTGTAAGACTGATAATACCTTTATCAGTGAGCACCTCCCACAAGATGTGTGAAAGGAGCTGAGGAGAGAGGAGGGCAAGGGGAAGCCAGGCTGTTCATGCTGGGCAGGGCTGGAATGCTGAGAGTGGCCAGTGCTTCTCCTCCTTCCCACCCACAGCCCCCAGACACCAACACCACCCTGGGGCTGCAGCCACCCGCAGCCTCAGGGATCCATTTACCAAATGCAGCTTCCCATCATTCCAGTTTGAGCTGGCAGAGCACAGCAGGACTCCACGCTGTCTGTACCTCATGAAATCAGAAAACTGAGATGGTTTCAAAGTGACCAGTTGGGTTTTTCTTTTTCTCCAGTTCCCACCAGGTGACTCCTCTCAGAAATTCAGTGCTTGGGTGCATGTTGTGGCTTCAAGGCTTTTTGGCAGCAGGTGGTGATGGTTTCGTGTCTCCCTTTTCCTGCAGGTGATAAGGGAGTGGGGCAAAGGCAGTTCTTACACCCTGGAAGCTGCTTTCATCACTGGCTCCTGCATTTCTGTCACAATAAAATCTGTTCTGTTCTGGGCTCTGGTTCACGTCTACCGTAGCTTCGGGCAGGGGCTGAGGGAGAGAAGTAAGTACCCCAAAAATTCCCTGGGAAGGGTGGGGCCTGTTCTATCCCTGTCCCAGTCCTGGGAAATAGCCAGGAAAATCCTTAAGAGGAAAAGGCAGATCCCCAGTCAAGCAGTTGTGCAGCCTCAGAATTACCAGGCTGCCAAAGCTCAGAAGTTGGGTGGAACAGATATGGCTTCTCCCTGGAGAAAGCTGCTGCCAACCTGAGCAAGAACTGCTGCTGTCCAGAAAAAAATCACACCTGTGTGAGCAAACCTCTGGCTACTTGCAGCGTTTCTCTCACACTGTATAACACAGAAACAGCAAAGGGACACTGATGGGACACAACCCAAAGCTCCAGTTCCCCGAGGGTCACTGAGCCGTGCTGCTGACCGAGCTCCTCTCTTCCCACAGTGTTTTCTTCCTATGGAAGGATCGACTCCTGAGCCCTCCCATGCAGCTCTCCCAGAGTGAAGCCACCCCAGGAGCTCCTGACCAAGGACCTGGATTCAGGGAGGCAGTGAAGGGTCGCTTTCCCAGGATGGAGGAGGTTCAGGAAGCTGTCACACATTTCTTGGAGCAGTGCAGGTGGGACAGAGTTTCAAAAGCAAAACGCGTTTGGGAAGTTCCCAGCTGAGCTCCTGACAGCACCAAGCATCTCTCACTCCTTTTCCTGCTGCTTTGGAAGCACAGGGGGGTCACACCTGCATGTGAGTGGGGAATGTTGCTCCTTTCAATGCTTCTGGCCTGGATGGACACAAACATCATGAAGGAAATTTGCTCACCCATCCTCTATACCCACATCTGGAAGGGGATTGTGCTGCCATCATTTCCAGCTTGGATCTACTGCACAGCAGCTCCAGCCCTGGTGGGTTGGTGACAGTGGTGCCCCCCCCCAAAGCCTCCTTTCCCCCCTCGGCCTCAAAAAAATTCAAATTGGTTTTTTTAACCCCAGCTACACATGAAAACTTGTAACCTCACCCCTCACTCAGTGTAACCAAGGTGCCATTTCATACCAGGGGGACTGTTAAAATTAAGCCTTGAATATTGTAATTTAAAAGTTTGGTATTTTATTGACTGGAACCTTTAACTACTGGCTATTTTTAAATAAAGTATAAGCACAGTTTGTGTATGGATAATTATTTCACATGGAACAGCACCAATTCAGTGGGAAATCCCTTACAAAACTGGATAGGGAAGAGGTTGGGACTGGAATTCATGGGTGCTGTGAACACTGCCACTACTCTTCAGACACAGCTTTATTTGCAGGCAGCTGGACACTGCAAAAAGCAATTAAATTAGAAACTTAGCTTATTAGGGAGATATACAAGGATTCTATCAAAACTGCTGTAATTTTTTTTTCCTCATCCAAGCCATCTAAATCAGAACTTATATTACAAATAAGTATTTTTCTCACCTTGATCTCCTAACCTGAATCAAATCTACTTTATCTGCAGCCCAAGGGAGGCGTGAAGAGGTTAATGTGTGCAGGGGCTGGCAGAGCAGCAGCTGCCTCCGTGACTTCACCCAAGTACCAGCGGCAGCAGGGATTGTTGCTGGTGGAAGAATTGAACATTTAAACATCACAACAAAACGTTTTCAGTCCTTCCCTCAGCCCAGCCCAGGCAGCAGGGCAAGGCTCTGCTCCCACACAAAGCCTGTGCTGGGCAGAACGAGGTGAAGGAAGTGTTCCATGGCCAGGTCACAGCGGCACTGTCACAGAGAGTACAGAGTTTGTCACCAGCCAGGCATGGAAAGGTAGAAAACCCTTTCAAAGGTGCCTTGTAAAACAAAAACTTCACTTAAAAACAGCTCCTTTACCTGCAAAAGGCATCTCCTCACATCTCTCAGCTGCTGGAATGAATTACAGATTAATTATGAAATGAAAAGACTCTTAAACATCATTATTAGTATCAAGTTCCACGGGAGAAGTGGATAGAGCTTCATCAGAACATGCTTCAGGCATTTAAACTCCATTTTTAATCCTAAACTTCCTGGATAAAAATTATCAATTATTTGACAAGTTTATCTGATCTATTTCTTTCCTCGTATTTCTATTATTGGGCCTTTCAAAACAGTATTTAATGAAGCCCAGCTGGTTGTACAGAAGATTTCTTTTAAGTTGCACAGCAAATCCAGCAATTATTTTGAGACTTTCGAGGAAAACCTGGTACCAGACATTCAAAAATCCCTTGGGTGTATTATTCCCAGAAAACAGATGCCACTGTCCCATGAGAAGTGTCAAACCCCACACAATTCCAAGCAACTGATTAGGAATTCACAATTTTATATTCTCCCCAATCAAAGGCAAATCGACCAATCCAACTTTACAAAAAGGTTTTATTGAAAGGATTGAAAAATATTTTGTTTCTCAACAATATTTAAAACCAAGTTTTCAATGTGTTAACAATATGTAACAGGATTTTTCATCTTTTAAAAATTCAGTACACTGTTTTATTCCATACTACAGTTGGTAACAACTTCTCCAATTTCTACCACAGGGTATTTTTTTTTTTTTAAACCCACCAAATTAATTTCCCAGCTTCCATTTTGGCCCTTTGTAGATGAAAGGATTTGTAGGTGCCAGTGACTTACAAAGCCTTTTATTAAAAACTCTTAATCAGCAAACCCCCATTTTTTTAGCACAGTTTAACCAAGTTATTCTGAATAAGCTACATTAGCAAAACGAGGTTTTATTGCCAATGAAGTGAGGTGCATTTCAGGATTTTTCTGGTTCAGCTCCCCCACTCCTGGAGCACTTTAAATGCAGAACTCCAGGGCTGCTCCAGCCTCACTCTCCTGCAGTTTGCAGATTAAAAGCCTTGGAAAGGGACTTTGCACACTCAGATCAACTTTGTGATGTGTTAACACAGCCCAGGCTGTGAAAGCAGCTGGGCCAGGGAGAACCAAGGCAGCTTTTGGAGGAAAAGCCAGGAAAGTCACTGAGCCAGGGCTGCAGCTCTGCCTGGGCTCAGCAGCCACCCAGAAAATGCCTTTTCACAGCAGGAATTGTGTACAAGCAAAGCTGCAGCAGCCTCAGAGCCAGCAATGCAGGTGATAAATTGAAAGAAGAAATTTCAAGCCAACCCCTAACGTAGCTCTGAAGTAGTTCAGTACACTTTGATTACAAATTTAATTACCTGTGCACTCTGAAAATTAAAAGTTCGGCAATTTAGTCAAGAATAGCTTTACTATTATAAAAAGCATAAATAAAAAGTGCTGAATATAGTTTTATCTTTAAAAAAATACTAGATAAGGCTCATAAATCATTTCACCTCTGCAAAATGATTTTCCACCCCACAGTGTGCCTAGAACTGTTCATTCTCCACTCATCCACACGTTTCTCTAGACACCATAACCCTGTTCCTTCTCTCAATTATTGCATGTTTAAATAAAAATGGTTCCAAAGCAAAAAAGCCTGACACTTCTCTAGTTCAAAAAGTAACCAGTTATCAAATAACTGAATACTCCGCTTAGGAAACCCGTAAGCAGCTTCAAAACAGTGATAAAACAATTACTGCAGATTCAAGTGAAAGAGAAATCCCAAAAGCTCCCTGGATATTCTCCAAGATATCCCAAAATCCATCTGGTTTTGACCAAATCAAACCAAAATTCTATTTTACAGAATGTACAAACCAAGTGTTAATTTATACCAACATGCTTTCAATGCGATTTCAGTCGTTAGCCAAGAGTTTGCTTCTCTTTTCTGGAAAAGTGCTCTCACCTGCATTTCATGAGCTCAGCCCAGGGCAGCATCCAGAAGGGATGAGACATTATTGAAACCACCAGAGGACAACAGGTCAGGCAGAGTTTGGAAATGAACCCATTTCCCATTTCCACTTTGGACCACAGAAACAACGTAAGACAATCATGAAAAAAGGTTCAGCAGAGATTCTCCCTCCGTTCCCAAGGAAATCCCACCTCAATCAGGAAATTCATTCCTTGGCAAGGTTCTGCCACAGGCATTGAACAGCTCCTGTCCCTTCCTTCAGTGAGCGATGCAGCAAGACTTGAAAATGCTGAAGTTTGGATAAGATGATCAAGAGACTGCACCACAGTGAACATAAATGTAAACATTATCCTTGGGTTTGCTGTTTTGCAATTAAAGTACAGTACAAACCCTTTTCCCCCACCCCCAACCAGTTCTTTTGTTGGGGTTTTTTGTGGTTTTTTTGTTCTTTCATAAAAGCACATACAATAAAATATGTACAGAGAGAAGTTAGAAACATTTGAAAGCATCTTAAAAAAAGTAAATGTGAGACTTAGAATATCTTGAGCGTGCTGAAGGCACCATTGCTACTCCACTGGGAATGTGTCCTCTCATTTCTCCAGCCCACCAATGCAGAATCCCACCCTGGATTGCTCAGCACCAAGAGCTGGAAGGTATCCATGGAAGTTGAGGGCATTCAGGACCTAGAATAGGATATTTTCTTCAGGACAACAGTGAATTCAGTAGTAATTGAAGTCCAGATTCTTCTTGAACACTTGGAGAATTATTATTATTATTATTTTAACATGATAGTCTCTAATGCTACCATTTATCCCAGGGAATCAAACAAAAATAATTAAAAAAAAAAACCAACACATGGATGATTCCCACCAAGAGGAAGTGCAGAGCTGTGAATTAGCTCAGCTACAAACCCAGAATAATTAATGTTCATCCCTGCTGTTTGTGGGTATTCCCACAGTGCTGACAGCCAAGGGTCAGCCACTGCTCAAATGGGCACGAGAAAGAAATGTATATATAAAAAATATATATACTTTTTATTACTAGTTCCATCTATTAATAAAAAAACATCCTTTGTGGGTGTTTCTTCAGTGTGTCACACTTGCAAGTAAGAAAGTATTTTCTGGGCAAGGTGTATTTAACAAAGAGGAGCTTTTCTTTTTTTTAAAGAAAACTTCTCAGAGCCTTTCTGTTCCTAGTAGTGTTAAATGGAGTTAAAAATCTATCAAATGAAAGATTTTAATGCCACTTTTCTGCTGCCACTTTTCCCCGGTGTAGCTACATTCAGCCTACCATGGAACTGGTAAGTCAGAGGTTACAATCAAATCTGCAGATGTGGTTTTGGATAGCAGTCAGGAATGATCCACTCTCAGACTGCTCATTTGGAAGGAAATTCCCATTGGATTAGAACCATCAGAGCCTTCCACTCCCACTCGTGATGGACAGGAAGGAGCAAACCCTTCCCAGCCCCAGCAGCTGAGGGATATCAACCACAACCACAAGGCAGCTCCGGGGCGGTGCCTGCACCCAGAGCTCCAAAATCCAAGCAGAGGGGAGGGATTCTGCCACATTCCACTGCCAGGAGCCCTGCTGGGCGTGGACACTCAGAATTCTTCTTCCTCCACGGCGAAGTTGTTCTGCTTCTTGCGGACGTTCCAGTGCAGGCACTCGGCCAGGCTCTCGAACCAGTCGCTGACGGGGTCCCGGAAGCAGATGGAGGGGAGGGGGTAGCAAGAGGTAGTGATGCTGATACTGCAACAGCACAGGGCAGTCAGGCAGGGCCAGCAACAACGTGAACAACCCCCAGGCTGTCCCCACCCAGCACGGCGCAGATTTACTGCCAAACAAC